CTTGTCCTTCTTGTTCTCTCTCTCTCTCTCTCTCTCTTTCTCTGTATGTTTCGTTTTCTCTACTTCTGTACTCAACACACCATCTTTACAGAGGACACACATGCTGTTAATGCTGCACCCATATGTTTGTATGTGAGTGTTTTGTGTGTGTGTGTGTGTGTCGCACGCACGGGGCAGTGAGCTGATATATAAGCTCAGTCCTCACTGAGCAGCTCTTTCTCCTGTGAGTGCTGCGTTCACTATGAACACTCTTCCAGCCTATTCAGGGGCCAGAATCTCAGGCTGCTGGGCACTAAGGGCTGATGGCAGGTGAGTCTCCACTGTTTATTCATTATCTTTCTCTCTCTCTCTCTTTCTCTTTCTCTCTGATCTCAGTGCCTTTCTCTTCAGAGCTCAGAAATGTTTTGTTGGTCATTTTTTAGGCTGCAACTGACAGCTTCTTCAGCATGTTGTATTTCAACACATTCTGTCTTAGTTTTGTGTTAGTACTTCATATATAGAAGCTATGGTAGGCTGTGGTTTATGGTTAGAGTTGATAGTTTGATAGTTGAGAAGGGCAGCATGTTGCATCTCTAGCAGATGGTCTTGTTTACTGTTTATTGTTCTTATCAGGAGTGGCTAACTTTGTCAGCAATGTTTTTTTTGCACTTTGAGCTCAGTGATAACTTACAGTGAAGTTACAGTGAAACAAACTCAGACAGTCTTAGACATATTACACTATTTAGAAATCAAGATATACCGAAATAAAAACAATTAATAACAGTAGAAGCAGCTACAACAACAGCAGCAGCAATAACAATAGAAGTAAATAATAACGATGATATTGATCATTATTCCTATTATTATATCAATTGTGTGTTAAGCTTTATGAACAGTTTAAAAGGCGTGTAGCGTTTAAAGGGCCCACATAATGGAAAACCTAATTTTTTGAAAATAATATGTTACCATTGTTAGTTTTAAGTTTCAAAACCAACTGTTTACTCCCCAGCGCATATGATCCATATATGTTGCTGTTAAAGCAATCTTTTTGAATTCACTGTTTTAATAACATCACCAAAAGCCTTTTCATTTCCTTATATTCATCCTTTCAGCCTGAAGCAGTTGAGCCACAGCTGTTTTCATTGATGTTATAAGGGGTGTTCAGTCTGGACTACATTTTTGAGTCACAATACAGGGATAATAATTACTTGTTTATCAATTCTCTTATTTACTTAATCTAGTTGTTACAACAAGCTGTTGTGTATATGTTTTTTTATTTATGAAAGTGGTGGCTTTTTGTATCAAACCAGTGTAGGTTTTGTGTGCATGGCTAATTAGGAATGGTTGTGATGGTTGTGTATGGAGTCCCAGGGCACGCCTTGCTACGCAAGGTATTAGCAACTGTGCAATAGTGAGTCAAATGTGGGCATTTGCATGTAGCCAGTCATCTGAAGTGTTCAAAGTGCAAAATGTGCAGTTGACACTTTCAGTACACAAATTTCATTGTGATCATACAGGGGAAAAAGGCCCTAACTCAACAGCTGACCGGCTCCAATTAGGATTGTTAAACAATTATACTATTAAGAGATGTGATTTCTGTAATAGATAATAATATGGGGGGAGGTGAATTTCCATTTTCTTCCAGAAAAAACGTCTTAGGCATTAATTGCCATGGTATGTGCTATGTAGCTCTATAGTGAACTAGCTTTGTACAGAGAAATAAAAACGTGGGCCAAGCCAAAACTGAAATGAACCTAAAGTCATAGTAGTCATATTACAATTCATATGACCATTATATGATAAAAAGATTTAGATTTAAAATTTAGTGGCAACATGTGCAACAAAATAAAAATACTGACTACAATGTTTTATTATTTGTAATTCAATCATTTTTAAGTTGTCCCAAATTCTGTTACATGGGACAGTGTCAAAGACATGCTTTTACAGTGAAAAATCTGATATGACCAAATTAAGAAAGATGAATGTATAATCCGAATATGTGGACTATATGGGTTGCATTAATTTGCTGCAAGAGACAGACCTGGTGCTTAGCTTTGTGAAAATAGAGAAGTTGCCTTACTTTTGTTTTTGTTATTTTACTTTTGGTACACTAAATGTAATAAAAGTATCACAGTGCTGAGCAATAACATCAGTTTATGAGGCACAATTTGTGAATTTGTAGCAAGAGATAAAGCAAAGATGAGCAAGAAATAAACTCAAAAACATAAAATCCAAGAGAAATGCAAGAAAAAAATGTAAGAATAACAACTAGAGTGAGGAAAAAATGACAGGAACCATAAAGGACTACAGAGAAGCAGTGAAGGCAGGGAGGATCCATCGGCTAGGGCCTGGGACAGCCATCTTTTAATTTGTTTACCTTAAGAAACTAAACACAGTTACCTTTGACATAGTTCATCTAAAATAATATTAACTGTCTTAAATGACCTAACATGCTGCCATATATGAGAAAACATGAACAATGTACTGTACATGTATATTTATTTATAAAAACCTCTTCAGACCTTGGAACGTATATTGTTTTATAGTTGCTCTGAGTAGACACCCAAAAATACTAAATGGTAACGTAACGCTTGGATTTGAACCAGTGTTCTAATAATTTGTCCGACCCATTAAGCAATTCTACCGAGTGTGTGCATATCAGTAGTATGGTGTAGTAACTTGGTGTTGCAAATGTATTATTGTGTATTTTAATGTTAATTCAGTACAGAATCACCGTAATATTACTACTTAGTTTAACTTCTGCCTAAAGGGGTTTTGGAAGGTTACTTGCAGCAAATTTCATTAAAGTTAGAGGTCAAACCACCACAATGTATATTGTCATATTGCCCAGCCGTACATTTGTATTTAAATTGTTTAAGATTTGTGTTGTCTTTGAGGGTTGGGGCTATTTATTTCTGAGATTTGTATGGTATTCATGATATGATTAAATGCGTATCAATGGACAACGTCACACCGGTATGTTCTTTTATATTGGTATCCCTCCCATCTCCAGAATAAAGTAAAAACAGTGCTTAACTCAGGTTTGACCTCAGGTAGCTGTGCAGCACTGAGTGCCGCCTTGGTTTCACAGTGCAAATTAGACATTGCTGACACATGTGTATGTCTTGCTTGAGAAACACTGTTGCGACAGCCCCCACTGAACCCTCAAGGAAGGGCAGGGTCTGTTGTAAGCAATCTAATCTGTTATCACTTTCTCATTATACTTTGGTTGGACTGATAATGCAGTGAGACTCACACAAACACACACCCCTGAGGTGTGTTCAGGTGAGTTCACCACTGATAAAATAATATAGGGCACCTCCACAAGTCTGTTTGCTTTGATCCATACTAGTTGTAGCTCAGGGCACTTGCAGTAAGTTGAGTTGTTCAGGAATTCCTCAGAAACCTGTAGCTGCAAGCAAAAAGAGCAAAAACAGTGGTGCGAAGCCAGTCGTATACTCAGAACAAAGACTGAGAAATAGTTGTTTGTTGTTTTGATGGCTAACTTTTTGTCGTCGTCTGCCGGGGATGTTTGGCTCGCTCGCCTACTTTAGTAAGTGTTTCTGATTACTTGGATTAACTGTATAACCAGAGACCATAGGTCAGTCTTGGACTGTTGCTGTCATTGGTGGCATAAGGTTACTCCAAACATACTGCTTTCACTATGTTTGAGTACACTACTGAAACCTGTGAGGGCTTTAAATTGTCTAAAATGTTTTATGAAACTTCCTTTGTAATGTTTGGATCTTCCAACACAAACTCTGGCACTTTTTATATTTTACTGAAACACTTTTTCTTTGACAGCACTCCTCATTCAAAATAAATAAGTAAATCTCAATTACTCAGCCATTTTAGCTTTGTGTTCGGTCAGCTGATGAGAAATTACTAGATTAAGTCAGTCTCACAAAAGAAATGTTTAAAACTTTACAAGAAGGATACATTTTTACAAATTGGACAGGAACTCTGCATTAAAACATGGCTATACAGAAAATTGTGTGGATTTGCAGTTGGGGGAACTTGTTTGTGTGATACTGTGCAGACAGTGGAGCTTTCTGAAGGTATGGTTGTGCTATAAGGCATGACACACTCACATGTACATAAACAAATCTTACTTCCCCTCTAATGTTAATGAGATTTAGTTTTGGTTGTCCATCATGTGCGAGAGGCAAATACAGTGTGCTGCGCTTTAGCTTCTACCTGTCCTGCTGAAGGCTAAACATAAGTACGTTTGCTGCTTTCCTTTGTTCACATCTATTTACTTAAATCCAGAGGATGATAACACACAATGTCGACATAAACATACAATTGTGAAAGCTAACAGCAATGAAAATAAGTGCGATTTATTCAAATAATTGTGATTAGGCGATCGTGTAATAATTGTGACAGGCTAATGTTGTTGCTGTTGAGCTTAACCAATAGATCAAGTATAACTCTGTTCATGTCTGATGCAGTGTGATCTTGTATTTTTAATACCATCATTCATTTTCAGCTGAAAGAGATTTCTAGATAGTTCCATCCTTCATCCAGTCATTTAGCCCTGAAAGTCTTTGTGCATTGAAAGAATGCATTTCTTGCATTACTGTGGTTTGTACTGACATTTTGCTCAGCAAAAATGCTCACTATCTGGAGTAAAACCATCCCCAGAAAACAACAACATGCCTACTCAATGTTAATAGTCAATTGTTCACTCACTACTATCAGTAACACACCGATAATGTATATCCAACAAGGTCAGTGTATTGGTTGTTGACCCTACAGGGCATACATGACTGTACACTGTATACAAGTTTTACTGTCATCGAGTGGGCAGTAATATCTGTGTAAGTACTGTATTGCTAGTGTTCATGCATCACACTTGTCAGTTTCTCTGCATACATGCTGCTGTGTATCAGACTCGACTGCCAGATGTGTCAAAAGCCACGATGACACATTAATTTATTGCACAGGAAGTCTGAGTTCATAAAGAAAACCCAACAGGAAGTGAATGTGTCATTTTTCTTTCTGTCCATTTTGCTTCACAGTGGGGCAGAGGAAGGCTCTCTTGACAGACTCCTTCCCACTGTCAACACGGGCCTGTCACCACGGAAACGAACAACCAGCCAATGCAAATCGGAACCACCCCTGCTGCGGACTAGTAAGAGAACCATCTACACGGCTGGGCGTCCACCCTGGTACAATGAACATGGAACCCAATCCAAAGAAGCTTTTGTCATTGGTAAGTAGATTACTGTCGCTGAATCAAAGGACCTGGAGAGTAATTTTAGACCATGCTTAATATTAACCTTAGTTTAACTGTCTTATTGTCATAACTGTTAACTAGTTAACCCAGCCATGTTGATCATTTAAGGAAACTGCTCCAGCATTTCCAGCATTAAACTTGTAGAAGCTATTTATCTAGACAGTATATGTTTATTTTCTCAGAAAAAAACACTATTATAACAAATACAAATAGTATTAATACAATTAGTAGTCATTTTATGTCTGTCAGTGTGTTTGTTTAACCATTTCCAAATCTCTCCTCAAGGAAGCCCAGTATTATTTGCAGTTATCATCCAGTACCTTGTTTGTTTCACCAGTCCTTCATTATGTTGATTTGTGATGACTGGGGTGTCCAGAAGAAATTTGGAACTGAATTTTGTTCTTCAAACTAGCTCACAAGGAGACAAGAAAGTCTAGTCACTTTTATTATATTATGCTTGTTTGCATCTGTTGCAATGATATACAACAATACATGGGGATTGTTTTTTTGCACCTAATTGGTATGAAGTGCATCTTTATAGAACGTGTGTTGACACCCTTTGATGTCATTTCTATGCCGGGTGTAGATGTATACCAGATAAAGTCAAGAGTTAAGTTTTGCTTATGTTTAATAAAATGTTAATAAAACGTTGTCTGTAATTTACTTCCTGCATGTAATAACTAATTTGCTGTATCAAGCCAGTAGTAATTAAAGAGCTTTCCAAAAATGAACCGAACTGGGACCTGACCCTAAACAAACAATTAACAGATTTTGTCTAGCATTAAGCTGTAGCAAGTCATTTATTTGGCTGTTTTTTAGCTGCCCCAGTCAATGTGTTGTGATAAAGTACTGGGCAAGTTCAGATGGTGACAGAACCATTAGCAATCTGCTTAATGGCAAAATCTATGGAGAGAAACAAAACTGAAAGCATCCAGGTTTCATATTTAGTTTTTTACTAGGCTAACCTATCAAATGTTTAGTGGAATATCAGAAACATACAGTAAATCCAGACTGTGAAAAGAAAAGGCTATTAATAAAGCAGTTCATGATGGCTAGTGTTGGGAGTTTGTACTCTTTTTCCTTGTTTTAGTTGTCATTCATTGTTGAGCAGTGTGAAGACTAAACTCCAGTTTCATATGGATCTTACCCACAGGTCTGTGTGGAGGGAGTGCCTCGGGGAAAACCACAGTGGCCCGGAAGATCATTGAAGCTTTGGACGTTCCCTGGGTTGTGCTTCTTTCGATGGACTCCTTCTACAAAGTGAGATAATCATTTTCATGGCTCACTAAGTTACATATTCGGTAGATTTCTGGACACAGATATTAGCCGAGACTAATCTAGTATTTAAGGAATAAATTACTATGGAATCTGGGATTATCCATTGGACTTTGTAGTTAATGGATAGATGTCATGTGGATTTATTCATCCCTTTTGTTACCTGTGTTGTTATTGTTGGCTATCAAGATTCATATTTTGATTAGATTTTTTGATGACTGATTTCACTGCATGTACTTGTGCCTGTGTGCATGCCTGAGGGTTCCATGTGTTTTGTATGTGAAAGTAATGTACCGTACTTCCCTTTGGGAATGTGTTTCACACGTTCTGTCAGAGCACAGTTTGGTCATTAACAGGACTAAAGCCAGTGACCAGTGACCTTATCTGAATGATGCCCAGAAGTGTTTTACATGCCAAGTAATCACATGCTTCGTTGAGAGATTGGCTCAAAGTGGCAGTTCTGCATAATCCACAAGCGTGCAGCCTATACTGGAAGTGAAATACAATACTGTGCAAAAGTCCACTTTTACTTCCAGTCAAAATGGTCAAGTACAAGTTATTTATTTCTCAGGTGATGTTTCTGATGCAAGTAGGTATAAGATATAAGGAGAAAGTCAAAGAAAAATAAAGAAATAAAAAGAAATAGGGATGCACTGATATGGGAGTGGTGGGCTGATGTCGATATCTGATATTTTTCATGTTCATATCTGCCCATGCCAATATCAGTGCCCATATATTACCATTCATTAAATCTTGAAATTCAGTCGGTGTCTTCCTGGATTAGCAGTACAAAGTAACACTTAACCCTCTACAAATATAACACGGATTTGTAGAGGATTAAAAATGCAATACAATTAGAAAATGCAGACAGTGTAGCAGAGTATTTTTCCAATGTATTTTATTCCAACATACATTAAATATATCACCAAATTGTTTGAATTACTAGTCAAATATAAAGATCTGTAAATGCAGATAATCTGTTATTTACCGATATGGTTCCAGTATCATTGTGCATCCCTGGAATAACAGCAGTTACCAAAACTGGAGTTTTAAAAATTATTAAACGATATGAGGAAAGTTTGACTGTGTAGATCACCAAAAAATCAGACAAACAGTAGTTTTCATCTTTAATAGATAGGAGAAAGTCAATATTGAACTGTGGCAAAGTGTGGAAAAATATCCCTGCAGATTTCTCCAAAGAACTGAAAGCAAGTCTCCTGAAAAGGATGGAAACTGTAATAAAGGCAAAGTGTGGACACTTTAAATACTGACAGATTGTTTTTATATTCAGTAGTTGGGTCTTTTGTGTAATATTTTGCTATATATGTGATTTCTACTCTTTTCTGACACTGAAAAGTGAATAACTTATACTGAACTACCATTGTGACTGGATATACTGTATATAAGTAGGACTTGATTTGAAAGGGGATGCAAAGAATTTTTATCTCCCCAGTAAAAAAAAACTGGCTTTTGTAAAACTGCTGTCTCCCTTTCAATCTCCAGGATGAAGGAGAGAGATGGACATGTTCCTGACCCATTAGTGTCACACACAGTTATTTAATAGCCAGAAATTAGCTGTGAGCCTGTGTACTTTTAGCTTTACACTCACTGTAGTCACGGAGGAATTTACCACAGACTGAAGAAATCCAGTGTAAACACTTATAAGTGGCATTTACACTAAATGCAAACACACCAGACACACACCTCAGATGTCACAAGTGTGCTTGACAACTACAGAATCTCTTAGTTTGCAGCTGGACATCCAAACAGAATAAAATTCTAAACCTTTTAATGTTAATTAAATCCAGTTGAAAATGTTTCAGTGCTCTGACCTATCCCGTGTCTAATGTGATTCCCGTGGAGCTTTCAGAATATTTATTACTGTGCAAAGGTTCATAATATTCATTACAGTGCTGATTATGAAAATAACTGCAGTCGCTTTGCTAACAAAATGAAAAGATGAACAGGCAGGGTTGAAAGAGTAAGGAGACAAGGGTATTAGATCCCATGAGAGAAGAAGCACGAGAGAAAGAGGGCTGTGGGAATGTTTATAGACTTTTAATATGTTAGCTGCAGATGGCAGGATTATCTAATGTGAAACAGCCAGCTAAATACTGTTCTACATATGCTGTAATCTTGAGCTTGTTAGTGTGGAGATGTCGCAGTTAATCTCACCATGCATAATTATCTAGATGTAGTGGGGCAACACAGTTTGTTGTTCTTTTAGCTTTATGCAACATCAGCCATCACAGTACTGCTATCACAGAAGTCTGCACTATGCAAATGGGCCTCCAACCAATCACTTTCAAGCAAGATGAGCCTCTATGAGCCTCCAACCAATCATTTCCCCGCAAGATGAGCCTCTGTGAGCTTCTAATAAGCCTCCAACCAATTGCTGTCAATGTGCATAGGAGTTCAAGCGCAGTGCAGAAATTCATCTAAGATGTGACTACATGTGCCCACAGTGCACCTGAACTTAACATGCAATTCACTGAGGCACAATTCACAGTTAATCATGTAATGTAGCCCAACCCACTAAATGCATGTTTGTCAGGTTTTAAAGGGCACAAGGAAATAATGGAGACATCAACAAGCTTGAGACAAGTCAGAAAATGAGACAGACATATAAATCAGTTATTGAGTGTTAATAAATGAAGTTCTTTCCCACCAAACCTTTTAATAGAGTTTGTAAATCGATAACATAAATTGTGCATTTATGTTGCGGCCGTAGAAGGCTTTTGCTGTATTTCAGTGGTCATCAGAAGGATGTACATATAAGATAATATGATTTCACTCCATTTGGGTGCTTCTTGAAAGATGTGCCTACCACACGGAAGAAGACAGCAAGGAGCTCTGGAGAATAAGTATATACTAAAACCTAATGTATATACTAAACACCTAATATATATACTAAATATGCATATAAAGCTACTTCAGCTACTTTAAGGTGCACCCAGAGCTGACACAGGCGTTCAGTTGCCTCTTTAGAAAAACATTGCCAGTAGAAAGGGATGCACTGGAGCAGCTGCGCATGAGCCTAAGATCACCATGCTCAATGCTGAGCGTCATCCAGCGGGGTATATCATTGGGCTGTGGAGCACTTAAACTGTGTACTCTGGAGTGATAGCACAATATCAGCTATCAGTACTCGACCTCACTAATGCTTTTGTGGCTGAATGCAGTCAAATCCTCACAGCAATGTTTCAATATCTAGTGTAAAGGCTTTCCAGAAGAGTTAAGGCTCTTATAGCAGTAAATGGGTGACTCACTTCCTATTAATACTCTTATGTTGGATGAGCAGGTGTCTGCAAACTCGTGGACATACAGTCATGTGCAAAAGTTTGGGCACCCTGGTCAAATGACATGTTTTGTTGATGTGAAAATAAGTACACAGTCTCTACAGAGAACACACCTCTGCACATTTCAAAGCATAATTACTGTTCATTTGCTGAATTTAACATATTAAAGGGGAAAAAACATAAAATGTGGCTTGTGGTGAAGTTTGATATTTTATGTTATATTTTTTTCTAATCCATTTCCCAAAAAGTTGGGACGCTGTGCAGAGTGTAAATAAAAATAGGATGCAGTGATGTGCAAATCATGTAAAACATATTTTTAAAGGACAATACTACACAAAGACAACATATCGAATGTTAAAACTGAGAAATTGTATTGTTTTTTGAAAAATAAATGCCCATTTTGAATTTGATGCCAACAACACATTCCAAAAAAGTTGGGACAGGAGCATGTTTACCACTGTGTTTCATCACCTCTTCTTTTAACAACACTCTGTAAGCATTTGGGAACTGAAGAGACCAACTGCTGTAGTTTTGAAAGTGAAATGTTTTCCCATTCTTGTTTGATATAGGATTTCAGCTGCTCATCAGTTCGGGGGCTCATTTGTTGTATTTTTCATTTCATAATGCACCAAATGTTATCAGTGGGTGACAGGTCTGGACTGCAGGCAGGCCAGTTTAGCACCCGGACTCTTTCAATACAGAGCAGTGCTGTTGTAACACATGCAGAATGTGATTTGACATTGTCTTGCTGAAATAAGCAGGGCCTTCTCTGAAAAAGATGTCATCTGGATGGTAGCACATGTTGCCAAAACATGTATATATCGTTCAGCATTAATGGTGCCCTCACAGATGTGCACGTCATGCCATGTGCACTAATGCACCCCCATACCATAATGAGTAGTGGCTTTTGAACTGTGGACTGCTAATAAGCTGAGTGGTGAAGAATCCAAACCCTCTTGATTCCAAACCAGGGGACTCGATCTGTTGTTTGGACAAGTGAAGTTTATTCGTTGCGCGCGCAGGTTCCAGACACCCAGCCTTACGGGCTACACTGGGCTGATGCAGTTTTATAGCTGGACTGATGCCAAGACTAGACCCAGCTTATACAGGACAAGTAACAGGTGTGACAAACATGACCATATAAGGAGAAACACAAAATAGGCAGCCTAAAATACAACTTCAGCACATTCACACACAACACAGCACATTTCACAACAATAAATTCCTTCAGTGGTCTTTAGCCCGGAGAATGCAGTGTCCATGATTTCCAAAAAGAATTTGAATTATTGATTTGTCGGACCACAGGACACCTTTCCACTTCACCTCAGTCCATTTTAAATGAGCTTGTGCACTATAATTTGCAGAAACAATGATATATTTAACTTTGTTCACTGTAGAGAGTGTAGTAAATTATTTTCACTTAGAAAATCAACAAAACATGTAATCTGTCCAGGTATGTTCAAACGTTTGTATATAATTTCACAGTGTAGCTGGGATATGATATTTTGACCTACTGTCTTTGTTGCCTCTCTACACACACTCTTTCCATTGCTAAAGTGATAATTAGCTCTATTTAGGAATAGTGTATTTGGGTAAATTTTGTTTTTCAAATATCACAGTATTGTAAGTCTACAAGTTACTTTTTCTCCAAATGTTGTTAAGCCCTAGTATAAAGTGTTTTGAAGTGGAGGGTCCTAGTATCCTTGAGTTTCAACACAAGGCACACCTGAGCTAGGTATTCATTTGCTGCACTCTCATTACCCAGCTCATTTAACCTGGGAGCAGGAACAGAACAAAACTTGCCAAGGGTCCTTGAGGACTGCTTCAGTAGCCTCAGAAAGCACTGCTTGAGCAGAGAGAGAGAGAGCGACAGTAGAGGGCATAGGGCTGGATTCCAGTTTTGAAGTGTTTAAAAAGAGAAGGACAGTGTGTTCGCACCGTGTGTATGTCCCAACTAATTTTAGTGCAGCTAACTGCAGCTGGGTGCATGGGGAAGTGGGGGGGTGGAGTATCATCATTCACGTACTCCATACTTTAGAGTGTCGTTCTGGAAGAGAGGGACTTAACAAACATTAAAATGTCATCTCAAACCCTCAAAATATCCCACTGTACTTCAGAATTCTCACACGTCCTTTAAAACTCTTGTCGAGTTTGTTGTGACGTTGTATCAACATATAAATGACTGTCTTTTAATAATGTATTGCAAGAAAACTAAAAAGTATCCACTGACTGGTAATATTAACTTAAGTTTGGTTAGAGGTTGGTAAAATATCCTAAACACATACACAAGTGCCTGTACTGCAATTAAATAATAATTGAAATAGAAGCAAAATTACCTTTCCCAAAACACAACAGAAGTACAAAAGTACTAGGTCCTTATAGAACTCCAGCATCGATCAGCATAGGAACTGAAATTTGTTAGGCTCATTCCTCTTCTTATGGGATCCTTTTGGTCTAGAATGAAATGCTAAAGTTTAAATGTTGACCAGAAGAGTAAAAAGTAGATTACTTTCCTCACAAAAATACCTGTTAAAATTAAAGTATTATAATTCAAAAATAAATTACAAATCCATCAAAATTTTACATATGATTGAGTAAATGTAATACTAGCCACTTCTAGGTTTAGTACAATGTCACTTTGCCTAGAAACCTAGTCTAAAAATTCTCATCCTCAATCATCGTCATAGTTTTGTGTTCTGTACTCAGTTTACTGCTCATAAATTATCTTATTATATCTGCATGATATCTGTCTCTGTAGTATGATGTGGCCTAAAACCAGACTGAATTTTTTCATGTATATGATTCCTATGCAAATAGGAACAAGTTGTTTTCACACAGCTTTTTCCAAGATCTTTGATATAAAGGGAAGATTCGAGATAGGTCTATAATTTGATAGTTGAAGAGATCAAGATTTTATTTCCAGCTTTCTTAATCAGAGGTCTAATTACTGCTAGTTTAAGAGTTTTTGGAATATAGCCAAGGTTAATAGAGGAGTTTATTATTGATAGAATAGGCTTGATTATTTGTGGCTGCACTTGTTAATTCTTTCCTTCTTTTGTTTCTTTTCAGTTATTATTCTATGATTGTCCATTCTATGTGTATCATACTAGAAGCATTCACCAAAAAATAATGGTTAAAAATGCTTTACACAAAAAGGAGTTAGGTTTTTCAAGTTTGTCTGTACAGCATAGGCATGTTATTTTGGCAAGGTGGACTGCTGCCAAAAGAATGGAAGCCCCCACATTCTCTTAATAAACAGCAATGGGTTGTGTTATTGATCAGCTGACTTGAGAGATCTTGGTTGCTGATGCCCACAAAGCTAAGTATAAACACAAAGGCTTTAACTGATGCAGTAAAATCTTGAGGGGTTTATACGTATTTTTTTTATTATTACTATGTTGGGGCTCTTGGGGTGAGAGTGTATCTGATTCAGTGCACTGAAAAAATGGGATTAAGTGTCAAGTGGTCGCAAATGAATAAAATGTATAAAAAAAAAATTAAAGTGTACAAAACAAGTAAAATTTAAGAAAACTGTTGTGTTAATGTAATTTATTTTGTCTGTGTGCAATGAAATCATTAACAAATTATTTAAGGTTGTACAGTTGTAGTTATAATCTAAATTTGCACTTTTATCCATATCCTTTTAAATTCTAGGGCTAAAACATTAACAGTTTTGTTCGGAGCTATAAGCTACTGCTTTGGAGTTGGAGATACGGTGTAAAGTTTATTTTGACGGCAGCAACATGTTAGTTATGTAACTTCTATGTGAAGAATGCGAAGCATTTACCACATACATATAGCAGTCCACCAAAACAAGCCTACAGCCTGGTGCCAAGAATAGACTGTGTAGTTAAACTGCCAAGTGGTTAAAGGGCATTGATACTTACTGATTTCCCTAATGAAGAAATGGTATTGTAGTACACTTTGACAGATTGATCATAGCAAGTCATTGATTTTAGTTCTGTTCTGATCTGACTTTATTCTGTTCTGATTAGGTCCTATCAGAAGAGCAGCAGTTGCTAGCTGCAAGTAATGACTACAACTTCGACCACCCGGATGCATTTGACTTCGTCTTACTTGTCCACACACTCCGTAAGCTCAAACAGGGCAAAAGTGTGAAAATCCCAGTGTATGACTTCACCACGCACGGGCGGCAGAAAGAATGGGTGACTACAAGCATATACTCACTTCTCTTACTCAAAGCATGTCTTTCATAACTGCAAACCAAATAGTCATGCTGCATATCTTTGAGAGTATACCATTTAGCCAAATGTTTGCCTTTTTTCCAATAATTGATTTTTTTTGCTGATACAGTCAGGCACAATATAAGAGCAGTGGTTGCCATTGCATCATTCAGTGAAAATGTAGACGTATCTCACCTGCAAGGAATCAAGTCAGCCTGTCTAAAGAGTATGATTTGTTTGGGAAATGGCAAAGCAAAGGAAAGTCTTTGCTCGCAGCCATCTTTCAAGTTTATCCACACATTAGCTCTGCAAGTCACAGCAATACAAATCTGCTAACTTTATGCTAATTAAACGCAGCATCATCTTCAAAATATATCACATATATCAGTCATCGGGACAAAGCCTCATATCTCCGAAAAGGCAACTTCACAGAAGAAAGAAAAATATTATAAACTTTGAATGTGAGTCATTTTGTACCATTTCTGTTGGTCCATACGTCATTAAATTGTGACACAATGTAAAGAGCAACTGGTGTTTCAAAGTCATGAAAAAATGACCAACATGGGAAAAATGTTCCCTGTCCCTCTATAAAGGTCCTGCCAGAAAATATTTTTCTAATGTAATCTGTCGTAGCTGTACAGATTATGTATTATGTAATTCAGGTTCAAATGGTTTAATCTGTCTTTAAGCACTGACACACTGTACTTTGTGTTCTTGTGTGTTTTTATGCAAATAACACACTAATCCGTGATTTTCTTTTTTTTTCCTCAGAAAACCGTTTATGGTGCCAGTGTCATTATATTTGAAGGAATCATGTCCTTTGCAGACAAGGAGCTGTTAAAGGTATAAGATCCACCATAATACATCTTTGCTGTTTGTTCACTGTGTCTTGAGTATTTTTGTGATCATTAAAATACAATACAATTACAAAAAAGCTGTAATTAATTAATGTTTCTCTGTAGTTTGTTTTATATGGGTGTATGGTATAACTGATGATGTTATGCAATTTTGAATAATTCAGCTGCTGGACATGAAGATCTTTGTGGATACCGACTCTGATATCCGGCTGGTACGGAGGCTGAGGAGGGACATTACGGAGCGAGGGCGAGACATTGAGGGAGTTATCAAACAGTACAACAAGTTTGTAAAGCCTGCCTTCGAACAGTACATAGAGCCCACCATGAGACTAGCAGACATCGTTGTGCCACGTGGTGAGTGGTCACGCTTACACAAGCCTGATCTGATGAAGACTACATAGGAATGATAATGGTAAAGTTCAGGGAGGTTTCATTGGATTTCATACAAATTAAGTCATAGAAAAATTACATGTACTACAAGCTACTAGTACCAAAACTCAAGAGTGTACAGTCTTTTCCGCAAAGGGCTGGTGTGGCTGCAGGTTTTCTTGGAAATAAAGCAGAGCACACATGATCAGTTGTTTAAAGACTGAGACTGGCTGATTAAACGAGTTGAATCAGGTGTGCTTTTCTTGTTTGGAATGAAAACCTGCACCCACACCAGCCCTTTGCAGGTTAAGATTAGACACACCTGCTCCAACTCTAATCATAATCATAATGGCCAACCTTCCATATCTTGCATAACAATCAGTGTTTTCTACGTTTTGGCTTGCCTGTGAATTTGGGCTGATATTGGCTTTTGGAATACACCTATTATGTGCAAAAATCCAATATGCAAATGAGACATCTGACCAATTGTTATTTTTTTACTATGTTCTAGATGAGTGTTCAAATCATTATTTCGATGTGTCAGGATCACATAATCCTACAAATGTAAACTGTTTTGATGAAAATAATGCAGGCTAATTTTTACCAAATTACAAGGCATATCTCAATGTGTAGCAACATATGAATTTTATCATCTAGCCCTATAAAACACACACTCAAAACTATGATAATTATGTCTTTTCTGTTGGTAGGTGGTGGAAACATGGTTGCTATTGACCTAATTGTTCAGCATGTGCACAGTCAGCTGGAAGAGGTAAGCCAGACTATCTTTAGATTAGTACTGCGGTAACTTTGGGCTTAAACAATCGGCTGTTACCCCACCATGTGCACTAAGTTTAGCATGTATTTCTTAATTGTGTTCTACATATATTTTTGATTCACAGTTGCACATGATGTTTGGCTGTACTAACAATGCCCTCACTGAATAATTACCTATAGTTTTTACATCATTTACAATGTTAAAACATTTAGACATAAAGATTAAAATAGTACCTGTCTATGATAAACCTTGGAACTTGTTTAACTGCGCCCTCTACTGGATATAAAGAACAAACCTGCTCAATTAAACCCGCTGTCAAAAAACTAGTGAAACAGCACCACTGTCACCGACTGACTAACTCTGAGTTCTCATTGGTTCCTGATATATTCCTGGTATTTTTTCTTCAAACACGTTAATAAATACAGTCATTTGCAAAAGTTTGAGTGCCCCTAGTGAAAATATGTTCTGTTGATTTCTTTTGTGAAAATAAGTACACAACCTATACCTATATGTACACAGTTATGTACATTTTAATGCACCATTTCTATTTATTTGCTGACTTTAGCGTAAAAAACATAATGAGGCCTGTGCAAAAGTTATGGCAGATTTTATATTGTATGTTTTATTTTTTCAGTCTGTTAAATTCAGCAAATAAACGGGAATTGTTCACTAACATTTGCATTAAAAATGGCATGTTTAAGTTTGTCCCCTGTAGAGGATGCATTAACTTATTTTCACTTGGAAAATCAACAAAACATGTGATTTAACCAGTTGGGGTGTTCAAACTTTGGCATACGACTGTAGGTAGTTGCATCAATTTATCATAAAATAGTGCACTTACTTCATCCACATATTCTTATGGTAAAGCTCCATTAATGACAAACTGTTGAACATGTCTTTTGAGAATGCTTTGTAGTGTTTGATTGCTGTGTGGTATCTAGTACTGGAGGAACTAATGAATAGGGACATGTTGTGGGATTTTCCTGTGTGATACTGTGTTTGTTGGTCTTGCCTGCTCACTGCACTCGGACTGTTCCCTCTCTCTCTCTCTCTCTCTCTCTCTCTCTCTCTCTCTCTCTCTCTCCCTCTTTCTCCCTCTCTCTCTCTTCCTCCTTCTCTCCTCTCCCTTTCTCTCCCTCACTCTCTCTTTCTTTTTCTATCCCTCTATCTCCCTTCCTCTCTTCCCCTCCGGATGCAGCGCGAGCTCAGTGTAAGGTAGAGTAGCTTCACCCGTCACACTCTCACTGCCTGCTAAGGCCTCCAGATAGAAATGCCCCCTTAGTGCTGCTCTGCTACACACTCACCTTTTCCAAAACCCTTTAAAACATGCATAAATGTGAATGTTTACACTGAAAACAGATTTTTCTGAGCTTCTTAGGTGTTTACAAGTAATTATCTTTACTAAGTTTTTATGTGCAAGAAAGTGGATATACACGTTCCCTAAAATCACAATCTGTGGCTTTAACTATAAATGCAGAAAGAAATTCTGACTTCAGACCAGCACCAAGGGCCAATTTCTGTCATCATGTAATTGTGTATCCCCTCTCTGTGGCCGCAAACGCATCACTTGCTTCTGAGACTGCTGCACCTACAGTAGTGAACCCACAGAGGGCGCTGTCTGTTCATGCTGAGCGCTCAGATCAATTTCAGATCAAAGATTCAAAGAATTTAGTAGTCAGTCACCTGCATTAAAAGATGGCCCTGAGACAAAAGATTCTGCTTACAAAATGATGAATATAATTCCCTTACAATGACTTCAGCCAGCCAATGTGTCATTCCCTGCTAGGCTATGTTGTTGTTAATTAATCTTCATTGTGGTATTTACCTTTGCAATGCTAATACCACAAAAGGCAGCAATATGCAAGTTAGCTGCTTAAAAAATGCAGATTTTTGTGAGCTGTGAGCATTCTGACCAACCTCAGAAGTTCGTGATGTGTTGCTGTGAAAGTTAGGATGAATCAAGGCATTCCTATGATTCAGCAAAGCATAATCATGTCACATAAGTTCATTAGTGTGTTTTAATGTATTTTATACAACAGTTATTTCTGACAGCACAGTCTGATTGGTTGAAAAGTGTGATATTTTTCACAGTAACCTATTATTCCACATTGGACTAGTTGCTAAGTAACAACGCGCTTTATGCTGCAGCTATCCATTAATAATAATTAATAAGAAAATGGATGTATTTGATAACTTCTACAAATACTAGAATAGTATTTGACCTGCAGCCCATTTAGTTAGATTCTGAAGAATAGTGTGACAGCAGGCCGGCATCAAATTCCAAACCTGTCGTTGCCCCTAAACAAACTTGCCAGCCGGCAGCTGTGACGGCGGAATAACAGAAAAAAACAAAAAAAAGTGGAATTAACCGGCAAACGAACCAAATACAATTCAGCAAACAAGATGGGCCGTGAAATGCTTTACAGACTTGCAGCAACAAAATGAAATTCGGGTTAATCTGGCAAATATTAAAAAAGCTAAGCTTAACCTGATATTGCAACAGTAATGTCTATATTTATGACATAAAAGGCTACAATTTTTTGGTACAAGGAACTGCCAATATTAAAGCACACTTGATACAATGTTTGGAGCTTCTTTGCTTCACTTTTTTCTTTCTTTTGCAGAACTTTTGTATAAAGGATTCAGAATATTCGAGGACATGTGATATTGCAAATAACATCACAGCTGTGATGAAGTCAAATATTGTGATGATAAACTACCGCTTGTGTTCTATCGTTAAGCAAGGCATATTGCAGTCAGAATATATAACAGTATAATCACAATATGGTATTTTGTCCATACCACACAGCCATATTCTTTTAATAATGTCTTCTTTACTAAATCCACTGTTAACTTTCTCATAGGCTGGCAGTCTCCCTCCATCCATAGAAGTAGTTCAAATGTGATTTTTGAATAAGTGCAGCTTTTACTACATCTGACCGGTGTGTGTGCAGCCGTCAGAAGCGAGTGAGGCAGACGTTGTGTCTCTTTTCCACGCTTCACTGTTTTGAAAGAGACACTCCTCCTGCATTCTGTGTCTAAAAATAAGCAGCTGCCTTCCTACTCTTGACCTCTACCTCTCTCTCTCTCTCTCTCTCTCTCTCTCTAATTCTTTCTCTTTCTGTCTCTCTTGCTCCCTTTTTTTTTCTTTCTAGCTTGTCTCCGCACTATTGTCAAAGACAGTGTCTTGCCCACAGAAATGTTTCCAGTGTCTACTACAAAGACTTTAGTTTTTCCGTTGGGCAAGATATGCTAGTAAGATGAGAGAGAGAGAGAGAGAGAGACAGAGAGAGAAAGAGAAAGAGAGAGAGAGGAAGTATAGCTCTTTCTTTCTTAAGACACAGGATGTAGCAGGCCTTTGCGTCAGTGTGTTCTGTTGCCAGTGAAAGACAGAGTGAATGAGAGAATGGTAGTTCCAGCAGGCCCCACACATATTTTTAAAAAGCCCCCCTGCCCCCTTCCCCTTCAGAGCTTACTCCATATAACATCTCAAAACTGTTCAAAAATATCAAGTCAGTATATTGACATTGTACAAGAAGTTTCAGGAAAAGAGGCTGACTTTGTTAAAATTGAAAGCGCTTTTTATCAAATCAACACAGTTTGACATTTGATGAATTATCTGCAGCTAATATTACAATTAAGGGGATATTCTAACATTTTTCAACTTAATCTCTATCTGCTGCATTTGTAGCTGCATAAAATTTATTACTATGGACAATAATTTTGATGAATTTCCATGTACTTTTTTTGAAAGCAGCTTAAGACAAGCTTATCATCTTCCTAGTGGGCATTCAGCCAGTGAAGTGGAAATGTACATGAATCAATTTCCCTGTAACTGTTATCAGATTAACTAGGACACTATTGGCTCTCAGTGTGTGAAATGTTGTGATTCTGTGTTAAGCTGCTAGCAAGCAATGAGCAGTGAAAGGGGAGTGGTGAGAACCTTCTACTGAGAAAAATAAGATGACAGTGTAGGGATAAAATGGAGATTACAACTGCAGCTTTGTTCATATAAAAAAAATCACATACAACTACCAAAATACAAACTAGAATTTAATCACAGTTAAAAACCGCATTGTAAATGTTAACTTGCTTGCTCGACTACAAAGACGAAAATTCAGTTTGCTTCTGGTTTTGTAAATCACTGAAATATATTCCATCAGATTTATTGAAGAAAGAAAATGCATAGTGCAAAAATGAAGGGACCCCCGGAACATGCAGAAACTGCGAACTACTGTGAAAAGGGTTATAATAGTAGCCAAAAGGCATGTGCTGAAACCCCATTGGCTTCCATTCTAACTTTGTTTTGTGTCAACAGGTTTTCCATTCTTTAGTGCAAAGAAACATTTTAAACTTATTGTCTGTGTCTGTGATAATCGACTGTATGCTACAGATGCAGCGTAGAAAGGTTAGGTTTAAAGGTTTAGGAGTATTCCTTTAATATACTTGCAGAGCATTATCGTGGAGGTCCCTTATGCAGCTGTCACACTCCTCACTCCTCTCGCAAAGTCCTCGTACCCTCTGTCACCTAATGAATAGTGTGTGATGCCTATCTTTTCTTTTCCCTCTCTCCTTGTTGTCATCTCTGTTTTTGTTGTTGTTTGTTCCCTTCCACTGTAGAGGAAACTCCGCTGGGATATGTGAGATTTGCATATCATTTTTATTTGTCTTTGTTTGCTTTTTATTACTTTAATTGGTCAATACTTGTAGCAGTTTCAGTTTCCAGAAATGTAAAGGATTTTGGTGTGGTCAAGTCAGAGTGCATGTTGTTACACAGTAATATACGGGTGCAATATACAGTACTGTACTGTACAAAAGTCAGAGACTACCCTTCATTTACAACCCCATTTCCAAAAAAGTTGGGATGCTGTGCAAAATGTAAATGAAAACAAAATGCAATGATGTGCAATCATCTGTTCATGAACACAGTTCATCACTGCATTCATAAATGCAAGTTAAAACTCTACCATGCAAAGAAGAAATCATATATAAACAGGACACAGAAATGCTGCCACCTTCTCTGGGTCTGAGCTCATTTAAGATGGACTGAAGGGAAGTGGAAAAGTGTTTTCTGGTCTGCCAAATCAGAATTTGACTAAAGACCAGCAGACGTGTTATCAGCACACAGTTCAAAAGCCAGCATCTGTGATGGTATGGGGGGGCATAAGTGCACATGGCATGGCTGACTAGCACATTTGTGAAGGCACCATTAATGCTGAATGATATATATATATATATATATACAGATTTTGGCAACAAATTGCCATTCAGACGTCGTCTTTTTCAGGAAAGGCCATGCTTATTTCAGCAAGACAATGTAAAACCACATTCTGCACCTATTACAACAACATGGCTCTATAGTAAAAATAGTCCAGACCTGTCACCACTAAAAACATATGGCACTTTATAAAATAAAAATACGACAAAAGAGAGCCTGAACTGTTGAGCAGTTCTAAATCCTATATCAAGTAAGAATGGGAAAACATTTCATTTTCAAAACTACAGCAGTTGGTCTCCTCAGTTCCCAAACGCTAGTGTTGTTAAAAGAAGAGGTGATGCAACACAGTGGTAAACATGCGCCCTCAGTTTTAGCATTTGATATGTTGTCTTTGTACTATTTTTAAATAAATATAGAGTTTAAATGATTTGCACATCATTGCATTTTATTTTCATTTACATTTTGCACAGTGTACCAACTTTCTTTGGAAATGGAGTTGTATTAAATTTCCAGTCAAAACGGCCATAAAGTACAAATTGTTTATTTTTCAGGAGATACTTTTGAGGAGATTAGATATAAGATAAGGAAGAAGAAAGTCAAAGGAAATTAACAGGAGTTCCCAAAACTGGAGTTCCAAAAATTTATTAAAAATGGAATGTGCCTAACAACTAGGCAAGACCTGATAGACCACCAAAACTGTCACCATCAGATAAACAGCAATTAAAGCTTTCATCTTTGAGAGAGAGAAGAAAATCAAGCTCCACTCTTGCTTTGAATCTGAAAAAATCCACAGGTGTTTCTGTTCATCTTTCCACTGCGAGAAGACAACTCAGTGCTATGGGTCTGAAAGGATGTGTAGCTGTCAAGAAACTGTTACTGAGGAAAAAAAAAGAGACAAAAATTAAGAACATTTGCAAATCAAACAAAGCAGCTTCTGTCGTTCTCAGAACAATGGATTGGCCACCTCAGAGTCCAGACTTCAACATCGTTGAATGGGTTTGGAATTACATGGATTGTGGAAAGCAGAAAATGCAATAAACTTGTAAAACTCAAGTTTGAAGGTGTGGATAAATATCTATGTACATTTCTTTGAAAAACTGAAAGCAAGTCCCCTGAAAATAATGGAAGCTATAGTGAAGGCAAAATGTGCACATGCTAAAAACTGAAAAAATATCTTAAATTTAGTTGTGGCCTGTTTCCTGCTTTTTCCCGATGCTGAGAAATCAGTAACTTTTTGACCAGAAATGAAAGAAACGAAGGGTGCGCTCTGATTTTTGAAAAGTACTGTAATGCTTGTTTAATACACAGTGCCAGTTATGTAAGCTTTTTAATGAACTTTTTTTAGGTCAGTTTTTTAGTTTATATCATGTATACTCTGACGAAATGCATTTTTGGCTGACCTGCTTGGAACATTTTTGGCTGACCTGCTTGGAGTTTATCAGTGATCTGAATGCAGTCACTTCAAAAACTGACCTGCTGTAAATCTTGTCTTGTGTTTGTGCTGGTTGATGCACGTTTTTAGAAAGGTCTGTCTTTTAAGTGACTGTTCTTTGGTTCACTGCTGCTTTAGTTGTGCTTAATTTATACACACAACTACCCATGTTCATTAACCTCCTACATGTTTTCTATTAACCTTAACTTTAAGTAACATACATGTGTGTGTGTATATATATATATATATATATATATGTGAGAATATTTTCATCACGACTGAAATAAAACACTAGTTTTAAATGAGAAACATTTTGGGTGTGTGTGTGTGCGCAAGCAGACATGTCGGTGTGTGTTTTTGCGTATATGCATGCACAAGTGGGACAGTTTTAAGTGTGACAGTGCACTGACCACTTCCTGTCTCTCTCTGGTGGTCATGGTAACAGGGCAGCACTGGCCTCTGCCCATCAAGCTCAGCCCCTCCCTGCGACACTCAGCGTTTTGGAGAATACGCCGCAGGTCCGCGGCATGCACACCATTATCAGGTCAGACACACACAAATACACACAAACACACACTCTACATCGTGTGGATAGAACTCAGACAGTAAGATCTAGATTGGACACCTTTACTTGTTTTGGATGACGACTTTTTTCGTTGTTTGAGGAGCTTAGGCCTACATCATTAATTACTTAGAAGTTTGATTGTCAGTCTGCCTTGAGTCTGTTTTAGTATATTAATGATTTATTGATATTGTCTTTAATAGCCTGTTACTGTTTAAATAAAATACAGGCACAATTGCAAACTATTAAAGAAAAGTCACCCAGTGCATTAGTAAACTAGACATATGTTTTTATACTTCAAAAAATATATAAAAGAAATCCTTTTTTATGACAAACACAAGTGTGGTATTGATTGAAAGTTTAGAATCCACACTTTTCAAAGAATTTTTCCACTTGTTTCAATGAGCAATGAGTGAGAATATTTTCTATAAAATTACACTATATCAGTGGTCATTCCATTAAAATATGCGATGATGCGTATAACAGACAAAAATCTGCTAATATGCATTTTTCAAGCATAAACAAATTAATTCAAATTTCATCCTAAACATAACTGGTTTATACCTAAGAGGTTTGAACTTTTTAGGGTTGTAATGATACCGATACCTTATTGCTGTCAGTGCAGCCCCAAAAGCTCAAACCTTTTTGAACAAAATCCAGTTGCATATGTTTCCACATTAACACAAAACATTTTCATTAATTATATAAGCATTAATTTTAATGTTTATTTTCTGTGTTCATGAATTTTGTCCTCCATCACACTAACTTAAATATCCATAAATATGATGTGCTCTGTTGCGTTAAATAAATATAAATATGAATCAGAGCAACCAAGTTCAAAACCTGGTAAATATTGCTTTTATTCAGCATTGATTATAATTTACTGTTGAGAAAAACCTAAAAATTGTTGCCAATTGATCAAAAAAACATACATGAACACATCAGAGCAAAGCAGCTTTCTTCACGTTCCCCAAAAAATAGGCCTCAAATTTTAGCAGGAAAGCATTTGTGAAGTTCTTTTCATTTCTCTATTAAAATCCAGATGGTGGTCTGATTTATTGTGTTTAAATGAGTGACGTCAACACAGAAAAATGAATTTTGTTACATGTAATGTTTAAGATTACTGACAATAGTTCATTTGTTACATAGTGGTATGTAGGCAATGTGGGACTGTGTGAACATGTGTAAATCAAAATAATTCAAAGTGTTTCTACTGATTCATTAAGATCACATGGATACTCTATAAACTTGTATAGTAAATATAAATACACACAGATTAAATCTGTTGGTCAGTACAGCCAGGCGATACATTTAAGTAAACTCATAAAGGAGAATTTATTGCTACATTTCTTAAGGGCTGTGCCATATATTAGTGGTCTGCATGACCACAGCCTCAACCTCATCTGCTGGGCAAAATGCATTTTATGATTTATTGACATTGTCTGTAATAGCCTGTAATCTAACATTACATTTTGAATGTTTGTAGTGGTCTGCTGTGAGTATTTGCCAGGATTTTTTTGCTATAATCGTTGAACACAGTATTTTATGAGCCTGCATTGCTAATGTTAGCGCTACCAACTTTTCATTAAGGCTAGTGTTACTAACCTGGATAACTTAGGAACTCTTTTCTAGCTTATAATAAAGATGGAGCTTCAAGGCCCTTAAGTACACTGTATATAAAGGGGTGAGTTACCTCGTCTGGCAAATCCAGTTAAATCTGGTGTCTACAGTTTGTCATTTGAAATTTAAAGGAATTATTTGTTAATTTATTCAAATGTTAATTCTTAAAAAAAAGAATTTAAAATTCTGATTTTTGGCATTTTTTACTTTAAATTTTGTATTTTATTTTTTTTTTCCAATATGTTAAACTCAGCAAATAAATACAAACTGTGCACTAAAAGTTGCAAAAAAATGCCATATTTAAGTTTGTTTCCTGTAGAAGATGTGTTGATCTTTTTTTTACTTGGAAAATTAACAAAACATACAATTTGACCGCGGATGTTCAAACTTTTGCATATGACTGTATGTCAGAGGGCTCCAAAATGTATAGTTTTGGACCACAGCTATATACTCTGAAATTAACATTATTCGACTGTTTCTTTAGACAGACAGGCCTATATATGGTTAGGATAGCTATAGCTGTCCTGTCAACGTGGGAGCAAGCAGTTTACACTGTAAAAGATAGTATTGAATAAAATAACAGCAATTATTAATATGACAGTAGTTTTTATAGTTAGGATTACTGACATTTTTCCTGCATGGATATCTGTTTAAGCTCCATTGTGAAGTTTCAATGCTTTCCACTGCTTTGTTCATTCAGCTTACTATTCACTGTTAAACTGTGATGCAAAATATTCCAGTAACAGTGACCGTGTTCATGGTGTTGTGTTACAGCAGCTGTGGAACTTTGTTTGGGATGCTTGTGTGATGTTCTGTAGGTGATGTTCTGAAATGTGTTTCAGGAATAAAGATACAAGTAGAGATGAGTTCATCTTCTACTCCAAACGGCTGATGAGACTCCTCATCGAGAGAGCTCTCTCCTTCCTCCCATCTCAGGTGAGAAAGAGAGATAGTGAGAGAGATACTAACTGAGACATGGAAAAAGAGAAAGAGACCAAGTTATATCAAAATTGAATCAGTGCTGTGTATGGGTATGGTTTTGAGGCAGGCTTGTGTATGGAAACTATGGTTGCTTGTCCACCGCAGTGGAAAAACTCTGACAACCAGAAGTAGCATGAGATGCACTGAGGCATCTTTGGAACACACACTGCCAGGTGTCACAAGACACATAACTTCGCAGCATGCACTACCAGGCGTCACAGGATGACCTTTACACTTAAAAGACGACGTTGAAGCTCAGCAGCTCCTTGTGCTGACTATACTCAGCCTTTGATTTTGCTGTTTACACAGCGTTAGCAGTGAAGCAGCTTTTTCTTAGGTTCTCTGCCAGTGGACAGATGCTGTGCAGTAAATAATGAATGAGTCATCTTCTCCTTGTTAGGTCCGCATTGTCCAGACCCCTCAAGGTCAAGACTATGAAGGAAGGACTTTTTATGGCAAAAGGGTGAGTAGTGCTCTCTGATTGAAAAGACTTTGTTCCTGAATCAAATTCTAGTGCTCTGAAGCTCTTCTGAAGCTCTTTGATGGTTAATGGCAATAATCTGTGTTTCTGTGCTGATGGTTGAGCAGATCACGGGTGTGTCCATCCTCCGGGCGGGCGAAACCATGGAGCCCGCGCTTCGCGCCGTCTGCAAAGACGTCCGCATCGGCAAGATCCTCATTCAGACCAATCAGGACACAGGAGAGCCTGAGGTACCGCCCCTTTCTATATCTTCACCTTATTAGGAAAAAGAACAAGCTCTAGACATTGAATTTCTTCGCATATTTGTATGTGGTATCACTAGCTTTTTAGTAATTTTCCAAAAAACACAAAGTGATACTTTGCCTTGCTACATAACATTGACATAACCATGCCATGAAAATGTCATGGCAAATATGATGTTGTTGCTGTCGAAACAATATCTAACCCATATAGTAACTTTACAGGAGAAGATTTTGGACCATTTCTGTTGGTCCATTCATCATGAAGTTTTAACACAATGCAAAGGGTAACTGGAGTTTCAGGTTATGCAAAAATTGTCAAAAAAGTAGATACAAGGTTTTTGCATGACAGCAACAATATGCTGTAATGAGTTGTCATAACAGATTATGTCCAGTGATATAATAGTGTCATGTTACCATTACCAGACTTTATAACAAATAATAAAAATGTTTTACTGTCATTTTCTATGTGGTAAATACAGTCACAGTTCAATTCACAGCTCACAGTTTACAGTAATCACATTTAACGTAACGTCACTCATCACACAAATCTTTGAAACCTTATTTGGTTTTGTAAACACCTTTACCAGTGTTGCATTTGCATTTCTTGATAAATAGACCAAAAGTAATGATGCAAAATTACTTTGAATATAATTGCATTACATTCATTAATGTACATTTGGTAGCGCTTATTTCGGAGATTCCAAGTTTTGATATGACAGTGATGTTAAGAGTCATCTGTCGTGAGTTATTCATTATGTGCTGTAGTCACTCAGTCTAAGTAAAGACAGCTTTGCTTGTGTGGTATTATTTGACACAGTATCACAGTAACTAATTGCTGGCTAGTAAGTTGCATTTAAAACGAGACCATGTTTTTTTAATCAAGCTTTAAAATTGGCTTTTATTGTTTTACAAATTCACATTGTGGTGGGCAAATATGGAGACTGTCAGCTCTTTTAATTATGACACGTTTTCCTTTTGTCCAGCTGCACTACTTACGTCTGCCCAAAGACATCAGTGAGGACCATGTGATCTTGATGGACTGCACAGTGTCCACTGGAGCCGCTGCCATGATGGCAGTGCGAGTGTTACTGGTGAGGCGCACCATGACCTATAACACAGATAAAGAGTCTAGCTAAATATGAAGGCCGTTGAACTCAATGCTTCTAGCCTATAGTCATCTGTTGATTAGTTACATTAAACTGCTGTCTGCACACAGTTCTACTGACAATACTATTTTAAAAGCATGTACTTTATTGCAGTTATGTTCCATTAGCTTTGTATACATGATTTTACCATAATGAAGGGCTGTTGTTAGACATGTGAAGGCCTCAAATGTATTTTTTCTCTCATTAAAGATCAAAGCACAATATAGTAAAATACACCAATGTTTAATGAATAATTTTCTTTTATTTTAAACTATCATGATAAATCAGTGTAGGATTCTTCCAGCAATGTCATTTGTTAACAGTACAGACTGATTGTGATGCAACATAGTAATAATTTGGCATGTTAATACAGAATTCAGTTAATGTGTGCAGTTGTATGTGTGCATATTGAGTATTTCACAATAGCTTTGACAATAACCTCTTTTAAATTCATGCCTTATTCAGTCATGTATATGCTCTGAAATATATAAGGTGGTATAATGTGCTGTTGGAAATATGAAGTGACAGCACTTTGATAGCATGAAAAGAAAGTTCTCCAATGTATTTATATGTATTTTAAACATAAATACATATGATAACCTGTGTGTGGTGGGTCTTTGTGTACAGGACCATGATGTACAGGAGGACAAGATCCTGCTCGTGTCTCTGTTGATGGCTGAGATGGGGGTGCACTCGGTAGCCTATGCCTTCCCTCAGGTCAAAATCATCACCACCGCTGTCGACAAGGAGGTCAATGACCTTTTCCACATCATTCCAGGCATAGGTAAGCAGCTGGGGTTACAGTATCTAGGTTTCCCTCCTGCTGTTGAGTTAAATTCAAGAGAATAACTAAAATGCCACAAAATATTATGTAAACAATGCTGCATTTCCATCTGCTCTGTACAAGAGAATAAAACTCTCTATGGCGCATTCATAAAAACATGTCTAAGAAATTTGAAGCGAGTTTACAGATAAATCTTTAACATTGAGCAGTTGTTAATTATGATAAATTATTGCTGTTTTGTGTAATTTTATGGCTTCATTTTACATCGTATAGCATGGAGACAAAACACACAGGCAAATAATAACTGAATATTACCATTGTTTTTTTTGGTTTTTTTTTGAGAAGGTAAAGGCAAACTGGTACTTACTGCCTTCTGTCATGTTTCATAGCCCCCAACTGAAAAAGAAAACACCTGACTAGTCATAGGATGTTTTTATTTGCATTTGCATTTGGCAACAGTGTTTCCATATTAATTTATCTAATTTCTTTCTTGTCAGCAAAAAAAAGAATCCACCTCAAGAATGTGTACAAGCTTTTATGCTAAACTTGACAATTTTATTTGCTATTTGCCATTTCTGTCGAGTCTTTTTTGTTCAATATGTCAAAATACACATAAGAATATGTGGATGGAAATCCAGCTAATGATAAACAGACACATACATATGGGCCATAGAATACATTTGAGTATTACGGCACTGTTTTGTCAGCAGAAGAAAGCTTGAATTGACGGTGCGTTTGCTCCAAACTTCAGTGTTACATACGGTATTGTGCAAAAGGCACCTAAGCGCATTGTTTAAAACCATTCATCTTGACAATCAGTGCCTTTTACATGTGAAAACACCATATATCATTAGAATTAATGTAAATAAACAGAAATGCATTTCTGAATTTCTAACTTTGAAAGAAAGTAGTTGATATCTTGTGAGTTAGTTTGAAGAACAAAGTTCCAGATTTCTCCTTGAATTTCTTCTTGACATATTGAAGCATTTACTAGCCAAAACAGGTGTGGAATGGTAACTACACATAATACTGGGCTGCCCTTAGAAGATGTTTGGAAAGGGTTAAATATACACATTGCCATACGTATAATCACCACTTAATATGTTAGTGTTATCTGTATTTATTATAATATTTGTGTTTTTTTGATTGTGTTTTTCAAATAAACACTTACTGCCCAGATAAACAGCTGTTTAAGTCTAATCTTCTCTGTTGCCTAAAACATTTGCACAGTAAGTTTTAAAATTTTTTTTAAAAAGCTGTTTTAAAAAAACTACTTTAAAAAAAGGAATTCATAATGGCAGAAAAACAAGATGTACTTGTGACAAAGTTAAGAAACACTGAAATTTGTACTGTATTAATGTATGTATTAACATAAAAAGCCAAAACTAGTCTTATTGCTGTAAATAGCTTAGATGTTATTTAGAATAACAAAAAAAAATGTGGCTATTTTGATAAAAACACTTTTATTGGCCGTTCAGAGTTTTTCTGAAGAGGCTGCTAGATGATGCTACGTTGCTTGACTTTGATGTTCTAAGATTTAAGCGCTGACATTTTGCTAAATAAAACCTTATGAATGTGTCTGTCCTCTCTCTGAAGGAAATTTCGGGGATAGGTACTTCGGCACGGATGCACCGCCCGACTGGAGTGATGAAGACATGGATGAGCCCAGCTACTGAGCTGCTCGTTTTAATCGAGTATTCTGGACATGTCAGGCCAAAGCTTCTGCTTAGCTCTGAAGCCCAACCATCAGTGACCCTGAGCCTGCTGCTGAACTCCTGACCACTGTGGACTGGACTGGAGCTCTCTCAAATGCACTACAGGCCTAATGGGTCTGAGTATCAAAATATGGAGATGTGACCCAGATGAACTCTGATCTTTTTCATATTGTTGTCTGAAAAAATGCATTTATGAATATGTCATATTTTGTGAAGTTTACTTTAGAAGTTAAGACGGTTTTGTGTTGTAAAGTCTGTTGTTTTCTGTGTTTGATTGTTTCAGTTCTGTTTATCTAAATAATGTGCCTTAAGTGTTTGCCACCACTGAAGACTTTTTAGCTGATTTAGTGTGTAGTTTATCTTGTCAATGACACAACTGAATGTGAATTGTGTGTTTTGGTAGATACTGCGTCACTTTTATGCTGCAGATGTTTTTGTTTTGTTTTTGCAGAAATCAACTTTTCTGTAAGTGTATATGAAACAAGTCAGCCTTAGAGCTTTGCGTTTCTGCACATAGAAAGTGCATTCTTTGAAGGACCACTTCGTCGGAAAATATGCGTGGGCGTTGTTTGTTTAACTACTTGGTTTCCCCCCTGCTTTACCTGCAAAGAGCTGCTGACCAAACCATGACTCTTAACGCTTGAGTGATTGTGATCATTTCAGAACAATGAAGCAAACATGTGGCCTACAAAACAGGCAACTGCTTCAGTGCTTTATCTGCATCTACCAATCAGCCTCAGATGAAAATCCACTGATGGCCTGGCCTCATAGTGCAGAAAATGGAACGTTTTCATTTTATATTGCGGTGAGAACTTCGTGGAGGGTTCTTATGCAGGTCAGGAAAGTGTGGAAGATGATTTTCCATGGAAGAATAATGCTGAGGATGTGAAATTTGCCTGCGATAAGAAAATGTAATTTAATCAATTTTGTTGGGTCAGTAAAATATAGAAATTGTTTTTAAACTCCTGTACAACATCATACGAAACATACTTTTGGTATAGATCTGGCATTAAAATGTCAAAATTATTGATATTAGTTACTCAACACTCCAGAAAAGCCAGATGAGACTGTACATAGAATGTATATGGTCTTTTCATTGTGTTTTGCTTGATTCCCTTAATGGTTTTCAAAGCAAAGCTGTCAAAACTTAATTCGATCTCTTTGATCTTCCATGGCAATGTCATGTCTAAAACAGTATTAGAATTCTACAGGAACAGCTATGTGAAATCTCTGTACAGATCAAAAATTTGTCCAAATTGTCTGTTTTGCCTAAGATTAGTCATTGTGGGTTAAAAGTGAGCTTAATGCTATCTATTAACCTGTAACGTTATGATTAAAAGACGTACTTGATCCAGTGTTGCCCACCAACCGCCACACATTTTTCCCTCCAACCAAAGTTAACCGGATGGCATCGCAAGCATCATATGGTCTGTGCACTGCTGCCTTTTCCATATATGGCACAAATGGGTTTGAATAGCATTTGCGTGTCAACAAGCTACGATAAACTGGGGCAAATTGAAGTTTGCTCTAAAATTTAACCCAGAAGTCAACTAGCACTCTACTTTGAATGTGTTGCAAACTGATGTTTGTGCATTGTCTTACCTATTAGAGCTTTGGAGTAATGAGTAATACAATCTCATTTGCAAATATCTTAATGATTTAGTGTTTTGCTTTCTGTTATTGTTTCTTACACAGTAGTACCGAGCTGATATTTTTGGTGAAATGGCAGTTTTCCACGTCAGAAACAAATGTACATTTGCTCCGTACAGCACTGATTATAGATCCAAAAAAGGTGATGATAATCACCTGACCTACTGTAGATCTCATAAAGAAACTAAGAACACACACAATGTCCTTTAGGCCATTTCAGATTGTGTTTCTCATCTACAATATCAACACAAAATAAAAACTGAAACGGATCCAATACAAATACTCCCATCACTGTAGAAATTTAGATTGAACTGTTCACAGTTTTTGAAGATATTTATACAAAGGTCTTTCTTGAATGTATCCAAACTGATGTGTACTGAATGTATTTAAACTGCTGTTTCAAACTGAGATAGATACCTTGTGGTATGCTGTATTTTTTTATTATTATTTAAATTTTATCCTGTTTGCATGGGCTTTTCATTTAAAAGTGCAATATTTAAAAACACTGCTGTTGTCTGCTGCTTCATTCTGTGATGAGATTTAACTTTATTTGCACCGAGACCTGATATAATCAAGATTAAACTTAACCAAAGGAACAGAACATTCAAACATAAGCACTGGACACTACATACCTGCTAATATAAAAAGTGTGGTTTTCACTTTTGCATGTAAAAGTGCCACACCGATGTGCACGTTTTTTTCGTAGTCATGGCACATGACGTATTTCTCACCTATCTTTGTTTTAAAAATACATAATGCAGTGGATAGTGCGTCAAGTCATTCATGGTTCAAATACACAGGAAGGATACTGTGGTTGTCCTCTTCACATGGAAACTAACCTCGCTATCTTTCATCAGTTTCCATAATTAAACTCACTCTAGACTAACCAAAACCTGAACGCGATCATGTGTCTAAAAATTAAGGCCTTTTTATTACAAAAGATCAGCCGAGGGTGTGTGTTTAGTACACTGTGAAAAGGGGTACCGTAATGGTGCAATGTAAATGTGCCCTCAACGGTAAAACAGTGCTCTTCAGGTCCAACTGTGAATCTTAAATGAGTTGTAAAGGTACATTACATTTACTTTGTTAGGGAAAAGGTGCATATTTGTACCTATTCATAACTTTTAAGCAGAAAAGTACAAGGAACCTTAGAGTCAGGACAGTGTAAAAAATAACTACAATATAATATGGCACAATTATGTTCTGTAACTAAAGGCACTGAAGAGAGGGTAGCAAAATGACAGTGGAGGGCAATTGTAAGCATCTCTCCTGCATGGCAAAAGTAGTAAATTTGCCAAAAAATTGAGTTTGGGCCTGTCCGGGAAGTATTTAGACACATACAGGACGTGAAACCTGGTAGAAGCCAACAAAGCCATATGTGGAAGATCAAATATTTCATCTAAACCTCAATTTCTTTGCTCCTCCTTTAAAACGTGAAATTTATGAATGTGGTGCCAAGAACCAGACAGATCACTTTCTCCTGTATGCATGAAGTTCCTGGTCAAAATGCTTTCAAAGTCCCCCAAAGGTGGGATCTTCTCCATTTCACTTTTTCTCAGAACAAACATTCAAAGCTTTCAAATATGAAAATGCTGCCATGAATGAGGCGCATTCTTGTGGCCCTCAATATTAAGATGTCATGGAAAGTTTACCACAAGCTAGCTCATAGTGACAAACAGGAAGGAGGCGCTTGTTCGTATGTAGCAGCGTTCACATCCCCAGTAGCAGTGCAGGGCCCAACAGGTCACAGAGTGGCGGTGTGTGAGCAAGTGTGTGCATGTGTGTGTATGGTCTGCAGTCCAAAAAGAGATCTGTGGGCAAGCGGCTTCTCAAAACTCTCTCTCTCTCTTAGTCTTTCTCTTCTCTTTCTCTCTCACTGCAGACTGATGAAGAATGCATGTCTCAGTGTTCTTCATAAGTGAAAGGTGAGTGCCTTAAGACTTCTGTAATAACTCTCCTTTCCAGGAGTTAAACAGTAGTAATATGTGTGTTTGTGTGAGGATAAAGCATTTTTTCAATCTCTTTACATAAAGGGAGGGGAGGCAAAGGTTACAGGTTTTATGTTCACACTAATGCCGGTTGTGTCTTGAATTATTTTATGGCTGTCTAGGAGTGCTAAGTCTTTGGCACTGAGTGTAATGGCTGCTCGTGAGGTGTGCTCTCCCTGCATCATAGATGGTGAATAATTCATATGTAGAGAAATTCGTGAACATTATCTAGAATATAAAGAGAATTGCCATGCAGGTGATTTATGGTCCATCTGAAGATGGAGACACAAATGTTCCAATGCAAAACCCAGAGATAGATGGTGGGGGAAGATGAAAGCTTTGGGGCTTTATAGTTCTATGATGCCACGAGGCCATTAAGCTCGGGCTGAGCCGGGCTAATTGTCTTTGAGTGGTTCTAATACAATAATGGATACCCCCATTTGGAGATATAGCTTTTCTCCAGAATGATCAGCAGATAGCACAGCCTATGGAGTAGCCACTTTTACTGTTCTTCTGTCCACACTGGTGGAGCTGGGTTCACCTGTGCCTTTGAACATTGTCTGACAGTTGGAAAGGCATGATATAGAACAATGAGCTTAACAAAGCTTGTTTTGCTTTGTTTCAATAGGGTGTGTCCTTTTTATGATACTAACCTAAGGATGAAATGCTTTAGTATATGAATGTAAAGACAGTATGGAAACGCACACAAGTCTTTGTAGGCATATCGGCATTCCCACCATATACAGTGAAATCATAAAGTATATTTATTGCTGGTTCAGATTCACTGTGAATTCAAATGTGGAATATTCTGAACATTTTTTAAAGAGGTTTGAATTTACATTATTTACATACGTTTACATCAAGATTGACATTATTATTACATACATGATGTGAGTATTACTGTTTTATATAATATTCAAAGGTATTCTCATATATATATATATTATGAGAATATATGAGATATATATATATATATATATATATATATGTTTCACAAACAATGAAAATTTAATGATATAAGTGCTCCAAAAGTGCTTGGAATAAAATCTCTTTATTAACTTAACCATTAAAATTGAAGAATTAAAATTGCCTTTTTTTCTTTTGGACAGACGAGATTCTTGTTAACACGACGTGGTGTTACGTTACATATACGATTATTGCTGATCTTCATATTTAAACAAAATGACAATGTCTCAGAAACCAGGCACATTTTAATAGATATCTGTCCAGTGGAAGCATGTGGTTATTAGGGTCATTTATTTTGCTAGGAATAACTCTGTGGCTTTATTTAAATAGGTCATGACACATTTCCCGCCAATATCCAAGTTATATAGATGGCTTCCCCTCCACTTTGTGATTGTTACAAAATCAATGAGACATAACTATTAATAACAACTACTTGTAATGGACTGCATTATGAGAGCATGAATATGGCTGCTTTTTCACAGGCAACGGTCTGGATCAGTATTAACGCTTGGTTGGAACTGGTGAATGTCCAGGGCGCACCTTGTGGTCATCTCTGAGCAGCGCTTTCGAGGACTGTCCAACCTGAGAATGCTGAATTTTGGGTCAATCTCAGGTTCGTCAGCCCATGAAAAGCTGTCTCCATCAAATCGTAGCGTGAAGAGGCAGCTAACAAGGCAGCTTAAAGCATGATGGCTTTTTAGAGCAAAACTTAAGCTTGAGAAGCATGAACAATGGATTTCAGAAGGGTTACACTATTTTGTGGCTTATGAGATACACATAATTCATTTAGCATATACAAAGCTTGTTGTTTTTTGTTTTGTTCTTGGTTTAACATTGAGCATTAATAGAGCATTTAAATGTAAATTTATACAATTGATTGATATAAATGATGGTATAAATGTAGAAAGCTGTTCTTTATCTCTTTATAATAAAGAGCACATTTTCTTTGGGTGTTAACATCTCTTATACATATCATGCCTTTGTTGCTGTCACTTGCTATTTTAATGTTTAACCTACTGATTATGCTGTAACTTCCTTCATATTACTCATATCCATTATGCTTATGTTCTACATGTTAATTAATGTACTGCTGATGAAAGGTTTTTGTGGCTAAAATATTAAAATATTACAATTCAATTATTGTGAGATAACTTTGTAGGCAGTTGTAATGATGTACAACTGGCTATGTGACGGTTGACTGTATTAACAGTGTTTTATATCCCTTTCACATGGTACAATATCAGTAAAATAAAGCATGAAAATATCAAAAAAGTATGTATGCATTCTTCTGAAATAACTTCAGGTCAAACCGCTTCCTGATCCACCATATTAACAGGTGAAGTGTCAGACATCTTGAGGTTCTAGCAGCCATGTTTGTGGATATTGATACGTTACCTTTGAAAAATGCTTGTTTCCTAATTTTGGTGCAAAAACATAACAGAAAAGTTCTTCTAGTTTTCCAATAAGAGTGAACACAATACTATACTTATAAATGTGATTTTCCACAAGAACAAACTGAAGAACTCCAAAGGTTCCAATCACGGCACACATCTGTGAATATAGATCTCGAGCACATTTTAGTTTGTAGAGAAGCAAATCAAATGCACTCAAGTAAATCTGTACACAAAATGCATCTGCTTCACTGGAACATTTAGACCAATGTAAAGGTTACTGCAGTTTGCACAGCTAGAAAAACTGGAACACTAACTCTAAAATTGATGGCTTTGCATGATTGGTATTTCTTTTGAAACTCTGGGCCAACAAAATATGATTCATACGTGTTACATTTGTCATACTAGATCATGTTCTTTTGTTATGGACCACAGTCAGGAAAAGCCGAAATAAGCGCTCAGCCTCTTGCGGAGTGAAATGTGAGTTCACAATCAGAGACCACACTGAACGTAAAGTTATGTGTGCTTAATAGAGGTGTTATTTGAATGCCTTTATTGTTGTGCTATTAAATACTCACCTGCAAGCCACAGTGAGTCCTGACTGATGTTTGACTAAACAGTGGAAAAAAGGTTAACATTGGAAGTGCTATTAAAACATTCTGGGAAAAATGTCTTGCTTTGCAGAGCTAGAAAGAGTTTTGAGAATTTTCATCTGTGTACATTTTTCCCCTTTTTTTGACAATGTGTCATTTTTGTTAGTTATTCCTGATTGCAATTACTGAATTTATGTTTGTTTGCCTTTTTTGGAAATGCCAATTCAGCTGTTCTCAATGGTGCAGAGCAGTTCTACCTGTACAGTTTTGAGTCCAGTTCAACCCTCAGTTCTTGGATGCTGTACAAATGAAACACAACCAAACACATTCATAAGAAAAAATCAGCATAATTTTTGGTAAAGTTGCAATTAAGTTGAATTTTCTGCACTTTCAGGCTTTGTTAACCCCAGAGCACGTATCACAGGTTTTCATGATGGTCCTACAATGGCTCAAATGCTATCTTTCAGCATTTGATACAAATCCTATATGAACACAGCTTGATCTGAGAGACTGTAATCAAGTATTGCATATCCGGTGACACTATCTGGTTGGAACAAAGCCAAACGCGTACAGCCCCTGCCTGCGTGGGTTGAATTTATTCTGTTGGCAGCAGACAGTTGCTCTGTGAGTGAAAATGTTAGTCACTGTTGAAGATCACCACTAGAGGGACCAGTGTCCATGTGAATGGGCCATGAGCTGTTTATTAAACACTTCGGTTTGACTGGGGTCAGACTGGAACAGCCAATAAAACATGCAGAGACTGTTTTACATATTACTCTGGAGAAAATCAAAACTCAACATATTGTATTTGATAGAGCTTTATTGAACACTGGCTCGATAAAAACCTGTGCAGTTTCTTGGTGTACACTACAGGCCAAAAGTGTAGAAGCAAGAACAACTTTGTAAAAATAAACATGAAAAATGTAGAATTGACAGTAGTATATTTATCATCACAGAACCAAATGACTGAATGTCTGACTTCATGGCTGCAGTGATAGCGTACAAGTGACTGATTAAGAATTACTTGTACACTATTGCTGTTAATTTGTTTTGCTCCAGGTGATTATCAGAGTTTTATTGCAGGCCTAATCATATTAACAATCACATTATCACATTCAGATACTCCTGAAGGCTTGATTAACTGGTGAGGTGAATAATCAAAAAGTGGTCAACATAAGTGACCGTTACCAACAAAGTGTATCCGAAGACTTTTTCCATATGGATAAAATCACCTACAAGCAAACCAACAGAATGTTCTGGAAAACTACAAAACTAGATGGACGGATGGACGGACGGACAGACAGACAGATAGATAGATAGATAGATCAGCGTTCATCTGTACAATGATGTTGCATTGGCAGCAGTTCGAAAAGATGCGGTGGCGCTTCACAGGTCTCAGAGGAAGCCTGTGCTACCTTTCACCCTCCTAGCGCTGGTGGTATTGTGTGAATGGGGAGTCTTACCTAGTGAGTGGTATTGGATACGTCTAAATTGGGGAGAAAATTGGGGAAAAAAGTCAGAAAGCAAACCACACATCCCACACAAAAAAATACAATTATGATTAACATCCAGGCCGACAGACAATCTCTTAAAAATTAAAGTTCCAAAACAGCTCTTGGCTTGGACATACAGTTCTACATTTCTAGAAAGAATCATTAATTGGTATAGATCATTTACATTATATAGAAATTCTTTAACTTTAAAAAGATTTTTCACACTCACAAATCTCTTTTACAAAAACCATTCTTAAAGAAATCATCCATTAAAAGGTTCTTTAGGGAGCCAAAAGTGTTTCGTCTAAGACATTCCTCCACATAACCCTATATTTTTAATATAGCCTTTATATATAACCATTTTTAAGAGTGTCGCTCTCAACCTAGCAGGCTCCTCTAACACCATTCAGAGTTTTGGATGAGATTCATTGTAAAACTGTCGCAACATACAAAGTAAAGATGTATGTTTCCTGTATGTCTTACAAGCTTCAGATGTCAGTTTTAAGAGTAGTAACCTATTTGACTAAGTAGTTTGAAGCTGCCCTAACAATGGAAGGCTGTGCTTTTAATCCAATTTTTTTGCACTGAGAAATTCATTTTAAACAAGCAACAGTGTTGTTAGTAATAATAAAATCATGCAATCTGCAATAAAGAAAATTATATTCTAACATTGCCCTTCAGATAACCTAATGCTAACACTGGAGCTAGTTAGAACAATGTTAGATGGTGAGGAGGACTTGTTGACTTTGACACAAGGTCTTTTTGCAAACCTTCATGAAACAATACAAAGAAGGGCATGTGTACGAGTGTGTTAACATTCATCTTTACACACAATGTTTTAATCATAAATGAGAGCACTGTAGAGTCCTGTCAGTAGCTAAATTAGGAAAAAACTAACTAGCTGGCTAAATGAGCTTAACACTTTTCTGTAATGTCATCTATTGTTAGATATCATAATCAAAAGATTTTAGCAAATACAGAAACCCAGCTAAAGTTTAGCTTAGAGCCAGTATAATTCCACCATATTATAATTTGACACTGAGCTGTGAGTGAGGTCTTCCACAAAAATTAATCGAAAACAAGAATGAAACATTACCACCCTCCAGATGATCAGGAGCATCATACATTCCTCAGTAACACCTTTTCTCCATTTCTTAGTCTAACAATTCTGACTAATTTACTGTCGTTTTCATGGCAGGTTTGTTTTGAGGTGTGTCCTGTCTAGTTTTTCCTTGCTTGATAAAGGAAGGAACTTTTAGAGATGACTGGTGATTGACGGAGAGTCATGTCAAGCATAATTTTGCAAATGGTCAACAGATCATTCTCACATTCTCACAGTGTTCGTTAATGCGAAAGATTAAACAGTAAGCAACTTTCAGTTGCTTTGTAAACAACGGCTGAAACTACTTACCAGAATAAATGTTGCTCTCCTAAATGCACCAACAACTCAACCATACAGACTTACCTGTTTCCACTCACTCAAGTTGAAAAATGTTCAACTTCAGCTGAAAATCTCTGCTGGTCATGTGTCACTTTTCATGAGGTTACCAATCAAAAAAAGAGTAAAACTGAGCCTAGGAGCCAATGCAGGCCATACAGTACAGTACACTAAGAAGGTTTTGGTCACATTTGTGATTAAAATGCTGAACTTGAAGATCTATATTAATTAACTGGCACATGTACCATTCTGGAGATCACAGAAGTTTGCTGAACAACCTTACCACCATAGCTTAAAACAAGTTACTCTCACACTGAACACATAAGTACACGAATGCAAATGAAAAGTCCTTCTGTACAAACTCAACGCGCGTTCTTACATTACTGCAGCGGTTACAACACCCAGTCCTCAAGGGGACGATAGAGGACAAATCAGAACAGCACTGTCATTCCAACAAACTGAACAGCTAAATATGTGGATGATGCATGAGTGTGAGCTGCACGATGTATCATCAAGTAAAGCAGTTCACACCTTTGCAATGCCGCTGGGCAGTTATTTCCAGCCATACAAGGCCAGACTCCTTTCTCTTTGAATGAGGAGAGACCAAAACACTCGAAACTGAAGGTCAGATTATCGTTTCAAAACATATTTAAAATCACTGATAAAATCTGACAAAAATCTCATAAATAGTTTGTTTCGTTTGGCTCAGTAAAGCGCGAATACATGTTTTTTTCAGGTTGTTCTGGCTACTGCGCTTGCGCACAACTGCACAACTTTCACCACTCACAGCATAACCAGCAAGCTGATTGGCTCCTTCCTGAAGGGTGGGGTGTTCTCTGCAAAGAGATGTTGAACGTTACGAGCTTTCCCATCATATTTCAAGCAGTGACCGGTCTCTACCTTTATAACGTCTCTGGAAAGGTTTGTTAGCCTTATAACAAGTGTAACAAGAAAACGGCACTTCAGTTTTAAAAGGCAGTTTTCTTTACATCTTATTGACAAAATTATGCAAAATGTTTTCAAAAATTGGTGAAATTTCCCTTTGTTGAAAAAAATAATGGAATTGATTGCCTTGGTTGATCAACCTTTCTGTTACAGAGGATACTGGATTCCGTTGCATGTACTATAGCCACTTATTGTAATAATTTTAGTTTATTTTATGCATTTCATATTTTTATTTATTTTTATTCATATCATCTTTTATATTTGGCCAGTGTCCTGAATATCAGTTTTGGTTTCGGTCTTTTGAAACTTAAGAGGTCATTTCATGCACTTCTCATTTGCTAACATATATGGAGCTGAAACTGAAGAATACAATTTGGGACTCGCTAGTAGGTTAGGCTAATAGTTTTCGAGT